CGCCAGCACCGTGGCCTGACTCCAAGCATGCCCGTGGCTCAAGCCCGCCTCCGTTCATTGAGCAAGGCACCGTGTCCCCCGTTCCGCACCAGCGACGGCACCTCCCTTTCCAATGCGGAACTGGAGCAGCTGGTGGCACTCTGCGACGGATTGCAAAAAAACCTAGGATTGCAAAAAAACCCTTCGACGGTTTTTTTTGCAATCCTTCGACGGGTTTTTTTGCAATCCTTCGGTTTTTTTGCAATCCTTCGGTTGGGGACTCCACCACAGCGAACATGTGCAGAGCGAAGCTGGCTGGGACCTCCCCAGCTGCCCGGAGCCGCCTGCGCAGCCGCGGGCAAGCGAGGCCAGCCGCCTGCCCAAGCAGTTGGAGGGCAAGCTTCAGAAGATGTCAGCAGTGAAAGAAGGACGTACATGTACATGAGTCCACGCTGGTTTCGAGAGTTCACGTTGCGCGAATGTTCGTATCACGCGGCCGGTCTCGCGTTTCAAGGGACCGTGTTCATGTACATAGCTGGGCGCGTACGTCCTTTGTGGGCTCCCTAAGATGGTGGGTCAGTATGACAAGACACAGCAGTATTTGGGACAGCAGGGCCAGCAGATCAAGGAGGTCTTGCGCCAAGCGCAGGAACAAGAAGAAGCTTACCGCCAGGCTGTTCAACAGGTGCACACGGCTGTCATCGGTCCGTCTGTTGCGCCAGCCGATGCAACCAAAGTCAGTCTGGCGGCCATCTCGGATGGACAGGTGGAGATCCGCCTCGACCCCAACTACATGTTTGGACTCATTGAGTTTGTGGGCCTTACGGCAGAGGATAAGGATGAGGCCGCTTCCCGCGGCAAGAAACTTGAGGATGAGCTTCATTCGGCATCTGCCGCCATGCTTGGTATGCTCAAGGCCCAATCAGAAAAACTACACGAGCAACATGACGAAGAAAAGACCCACTTCCAGAAGAAGCGCCGAGGTGACGATGGCCAAGACGTCGATCCTGGACGCAATCAACAAGGGGATGGACCTGCTGCAGCTGCATCCACCGCGCCTGCAGCTAAGCCCAAGGAGGATGACAAGAAAAAGGGATATCTTCGCAACGAAACTAAGTCCATTGCCGAGAAGGTGGTGAAAACAGGCACGCACACGGCTACCAACCCGTTGGAGATTTCGCAGCGAGGATAGCCCTTCGATGCGCCTACGACTCTGCCGTGCTACCCTAACCCTGAGATTGTGGAGACGGTGCAGCAGATGGAGCCCGTCACTGGCTTGCTTGAGCCCCCCCAGGCGCTTGCGAGGACCAGTCACGTGGGACCCTGCTGCGCCGAAGCGCTGGAGGGAGGGGTGAGCTCTTTACCCCCTCACCAGGCCTGGGACAGCCCAGGGGTGAGGACATCATCTACAGCTGCGCCGTCCTGTCCGCTGTCGACCTGGCCACCGATTGCGTTCTCGACTTTGCCGTCCTACCCTGACCCCGAGATTATGGAGACGGCGCAGCAGATGGAACCCGCCACTGGCTTGCTTGAGCCCCCCCCGGGGCTTGCGAGGACCAGTCGCGCGGGGTCCTGCCGCGCCGAGGGGTGAGCCCCCTACCCCCTCGCTCGGCCTGGGACAGCCCAGGGGCGAGGACATCTTCTACTGCCGCGCCGTCTGTCCCTTATCGACCTGGGCGCCAAGTGCGTTCTCGACTTCGCCATTCTCGAGACGGTTCAGCAGACAGAACCCGTCGCTGGCTTACTCGAGCGCTGATTGTGCTGCGATATGAAGGACGGCGGTGACAATCATGATTGCGATGTGGATAATTTCGATGAATTATGATGTTTTGTGATGATGGTGATGATGATGTGGCTTGTGATGCTGATGTTTGTGATGCCGATGACGACACGACGGCGACGACGATGATGACGATGATGATGCTGATGCTGGTGTTCATTCGTTAGCGTGATGATGACGACAAGTCTGGCGGTGATGAGTAAGAGAAGGAGGAAGAGGATGAGGAGGAGGCGGAAGAGGATGAGGGAACGACGGAGGAGGGACGTCATGACTTTGCCCGATGTCATAGATCCCGGGGGGCCTGCGATAGGGGCCGTCAGCCCCCAGAGTTCGTTTTGACCGCCGCGCGTACGCCACCGAAGTGTTTCGAGGTGCGCGGCGCAATTCAGGTACATCGGCCAGCCCGTGTCGGCCTGTAAATGCCGACCCAGAGGGTTGTGCTCGCACGCTCCCCTGCTTCGATACCTTTTTTTCTCTGTCGCGAGCGGCTCACGTGATGCCCGTGTCCATGCCTTCGCGGTCGGGACACCGATCGGCGATCACATGGATACCCGAGCCCGCGGGTGCGTTCCAGGCGGGGCATCCGGTGAACACCTTGTGCGCACGGCGTCGCAGCTGAGAGGCCCAGCCCGCGAAACTGTGACCATAGGTGTGTTCCCCGCTCCCGATTCTGGGTGGCCCCGCCGAGAATGTTTCGAGGGTGTCAATGGCGCCTGGTTTTTCTCATCCGACGAATCTGTG